CCAGGCGCCCAGTGTAGACGGCTGGCAAGTTTTTCTGGAAAAGCGGCTGATTTTCCAAAAAAACTGGCCAGTCTAGGCACAGCCGGTGAGTGGACAACAAAATGGCAAATTAATTTTAATGTTGATGAATGCAAAGTAATGCATATTGGAAAATATAATCCCAACTATATGAACAAAATGATGGTGATTAAATTAGCTATTACCACTCGAGGGAGATCTTGGAGTCATTGTAGATCATTGTCTGAAAACATCCAATCAATGTGCAGCAGCAGTCAAAAAAACAAACAGAATGTTAGGAATCATTTTTAAAAAGGATAGAGAATAAGACAGAGAATATCCTATTGCGTCTGTATAAATCCATGGTACTCACACATCTTGAATACTGCGTACAGATGTGGTCGCCTCATTTTTAAAAAGATATCTTAGCATTGGAAAAAGTCAAGAAAAGGGCAACAAAAATAATTAGGGCTTTGGAACAGTGGCCATATGAAGAGAGATTAAAAAGACGGGAACTTTTTGACTTAGAAAAGAGGAGACTAAGGGGGATATGATAGAGGTCTATAAAATCATGATTGCTGTGGAGAAGAGTGAATAGGGAAAAGTTATTTACTTGTTCCCATAACGTAAGAAGTAAGAGGCACCAAATGAAATTAACAATAGCAGGTTTAAAACAAAAGGAGCCAGAGGTTGAGGGTTGGAGACCCACATCCAACATGGGGTCACCCAACATGAGCTTGGCGATGGATGCACCTGACACCCTTGGAACAAAGGCTGAATAAGGGTGAAAAACTTGCCTTTTTGTTTCTTAGCAAGCTCCATTGCAGCATGCATTTTTCAGGGATGTATGTATGCCTATTTCCCAATTGTCTGTCCATTGCATTGTGCATTCATTCTCTGGAAAAAAAAATTTAGACCTAAAAGTAAGAGGACAGTAATTTGGAGTAATGTTCTACAGTTGGCATGTGCAATAAATGTAGCTATGGCTCCTTGAAACCAGAGCTGATTGAAATGTGGGCTTTCCAGGTGACAAAAATGTTGATATTCCAAAATTTCTCACAAAGTGGAAATCCAAAAAAAATTCACAGCGGGAGTAGTGCTCTATGGGTATGTATCACACAGTGCCTGGTGACACCATCTATCAGAATGTAATATTGTTTTTCTGGAAAATATCAGAACATGTTTCTCTTGCATATTTTGTTGTAGCGTTTCCTCATGGACATTGTGCGCTAGGAAGCAACCTTAAGAATAAACTGTATGTTAAAACAAATGTAGTATTGTTTCTCTCATTTCTTCAGTTGTAATTTATCCATTGGATAAATTACAGGAATCACAGGAATGCGACAAGGAAGTTTGAAAAGTATACAGTATGTACCTCTTCAAAAATATTAACATGAAAAATAAATAAAACTTTATAGGAGCCTTAAGTGCAAACATTCTTTAAGACCATTAATGTGGCCTAAGAGAAGAACACCATTCATACATTTCTTAGAAAACATCTGCTTGAAATGTAAATTGTATTTCTTTGTTTAATTTGGGTTTGTTTTAGTAATCGTCTGAGCTCTGAGGGAGATTTTTGATGGTTGGTGCATCCTTGAGATATTGTAGCCCTTAAGACACAAAAAAGCCAGGAAATGCAAGTTTTGACTTAGCATCTTCTTAGGGATATTCCAGTAAGGAGTTGTAAGGCACATAAAGCATGCAGAGAAAGAGACCTTTAAATATTTAATAACCTAGAATTCACAGGGAAATTCCTCAGATTTCAACTTCCTTGGGGAAGCCTTCTGCTTCTTTCTAATTCTTTGCACTTACAGGCTACGTCTAGACTGCACGCTTCTTGCGCAAGAAGCTTTTTGCAGAAGATATCTTCTGCAAAAACTTGCGCAAGAGTGTGTCAACCCTGTAAAAGCGCATCAAAAAAGAAAGTGGCCAGATTGCATGGATGCTCTCTCTAAAGGAAACTCTGATATTTACACAATGGCCATCAGGGCACCTGTGCTTTTTTTGATTGCCTCTGATTGCACAAAAAAACCCTGTTCCCCATCCACACGCATCTTTTTATGCAAGAGCTCTTGTGCAAAAAGGAGTTATTCCTCGTAGAAAGAGGAATATGTATTGTGCAAAAGACCCCCTGCTCTTTCGATTTTTTTGTGCAAAAACATGCTTGAGGTGTGGATGCTCTGCGAGTTTTAGCAGAAAAATGGCTGTTTTTCTGCAAAAACTCTGTAGTGCAGACATAGCTACAGTGTTGTAGTTCCTGCAGGAACCAAGTACTCCTGGAGCGTCCACACATGGCATCCCCCAAAAATGTCAACATGCAGTCATATGGCTATATTGCCTTGGGATTGGAAAGGGATGCTGCCATAGAGAATGGTGATCCCTAGCTGTGAAAGGGCTCAGAAGCAGCCCACATACAGAACAGAAACTCAGACTCAGATCATATAGAGTGGCTTCCCATCTCCAGAAAGAGGATGATGATACTTAAGATGATGATTCCCTGGCCTCTCACAAAAATACATCATTTCTACATATTTTCTCCTTTTTGCAGAACAAACTCTATAGATGACCCAACATTTACAGACACATACATGGAGGAGTTTTCTGCAATGCTATATTCCCTAGCTAATCAGCTGTTGTATATTATAGGTTATGGACTGTGCAATGCCTTTGATTGGTGAACATCAAGTTGAAGACAGGCAACTTATAACTGATTTAGTCGTAAGCAAAATGAACCAAATGTTGTCCAAAACACCTATACCATCTCCTCAGAGACCTACTGCCACTCAGCAGCCTCAGGTAAGAAACTTCTGCTTTCTAAATACATAGCAGGATAATAAGTTTAAGGCCAAAATTTCACTTGCAGTAATGGATTTGGCTACAGGAGTTTTTAATCAGATACAGCAACAAGGATTCCACAACTTCTCATCAAAGGCATCCAGCAAGGAATTTTAGAAAGTATTCTAGAAACAACAGTTAACCACCATAGATCAAAAGCATTCTGCTGATGTGGTTCTACATGCAAGTTGTAGCTATTTAAGTATCCCAATAGGTCTTCAGCTGAGGTGACATTGGAGAAATGGGGTCCTTGTTATGTGGTAAGAGGTCATATTTATGTAAAAACAGAACATGTTAAATATCATGGCTATTATAGACATAAGAGGCACTGCCCTAAATAGTATTTGGCTTTTTTATTTGAAGATGGAAGCTTGATGATAAATTGTCTTATTGCAGAAGATTTTATTGAGATCCATTGATAACAATGTGTGCAAAGTACATTACATGATCATATGATCAGTTTAATATAATACAAAGCAGGAGAATAACCTGTGACTACACAACTGGAATGTGCCTGACATGTATTTACTATTTCAGTGAGCAGTTGCCTGGACTGAATTGTTAAGTCCTGGGTTATGAAAAGGATAGAAATGCATTCAACTTGTCACATGTGGCCTTATGCTTTGAGAACAGGAGTTTGAGTTCTGATTCTGGATTTGCTACAGATCTGTTTTGTTACTTTGATTAAGTCTCTTGTTTTCTGTGGGCTAGATCCACAAAAGGAACTTAGACTCAGCATTGTATCACCAAACTTTAGGCACCCAGCCATCAAATGGAATCACAAAAGGATTCACAAAAGCCAGCGCACTGTGCAGGGAACTGTATAAACTCACTAATACTAAGGAGAGGGGGGTAGCCTAAGGAAATTAGGCACCTCATGGAATGTGTCTCCTTCTGTCAGGAGGTGGCAGGCCTGCATTTATATCCTTACTCCACATGTGGGAGGGATTTGAATAGAGTCTGCCACATCTTTGGATGAATGTTCCAACCCAGTGTTTCTCAAAGTGGTCCATGGACCCACTCTGAGAGAGCTGCTACTGGGCTGCTCCAGTTTGTTTACTTACCAGCTCCGCAGCCACAGAGCCTTGGGGCTCCCATTGGCTGCAGTTCACTGTTTGCAGCCAAGGGTAACCATGGGAAGCAGCAACCCGGGTCACGCTGCTTCCTGTGGCTCCCCATGGCTGCAAGTGGCAAACAGCAGTCAGTGGGAGCTGTGAGGCTCTGTGGCTGCATAGCCAGTAGTAAAGAAACCGAAGCGGCCCAGTAGCAGCTCTCTGAATGGGCCCGCAGACCACTTTGAGAAACGCTGCTCTAACCACTGGTCTAAAGTTTTTAAGGAGGCACCAACACTTTGTGAGATGCTCAGCCCAGTAGCTGTACGCCAAGCACGCCTACTGAATTGGGACTTGGAGGCAAGAAAGGCAGCCAGAGCAATTCTCACTTTGACTGGGGGTTTAGTGTTCATTTCAAAACCAGAAATTTAGGCACCTGCAGGATTATGTGGTTGCTGAGCATGGAATTTAAGGATCCAAGTTTTGGATTGAGGCACCTGAAGTGACAGTTAGGCACCTAAATCCCTTTGTTGAGAAAGCCCTCTGCTTCCCCATGTCACTCTCTATTAAAAGGAGGCTATTAATTGCTATTCATATCTGTGCTATGCTTTGAAGATAGAAAGTGCTATGTAAATGTCAAATTTTATTCCTTATGAACTCACAGGTCCAATGGGGTTGATTCTGGGAGGAGTTGAGCAGGTCCCAATTCCATTATCTTCAGTGGGTGGCTTGGGTACTCTGTGCTTCTTAGGATCAGGCCTAAATGAACAATTGAGAATGAGATTGTCTATCTACACTGATAGGGCCAATGGTGATTGTTTAAGCAATAAAATGGACCCAAACTGTAGGTTGGGAATTACCAACCCTAACTAAAAAGTCTATTTTTAATTCTGAGTAGACATTAGGTAAACAATTTTGAGGTATGTCTCAAAGTAAACCATTTTTTGAGGGAGAGTGACTAATTTACTCTTGAAATGGATCATCATACTTTAAAAAAAACCACCACCATCCCACAAAAGAAGTGGTGTAGCATCTATTTATGTTATAGCCAGTAGAAACAGAGCACAACGTTGTTTCAAACCACATAACCACACACAATGCATTTCCATCTACCATGACTCAAGTCCATTGTAAAGGGCACCTAAAAAAAGTCACAGAGGGAAAACAAAATCACTTTCATAGCACCAGTGCTTTCTTTTAGGACCAGCAAACTAACCATATATTACAGCACGCTAATTGAGAGGCATTGCCCAAAGCACCGAAGAGAGATGCAAAATTGACAGAATAAATAAATGTTGTCAGATTGATAGATTTTGCCCTTAGAAAATGGAGTATTAAATACTCCCACTGACTCAAAATCTAGTATACCCAAGTAGGCACTTGTGCCTAGATTTCAGAGAGGCCCAACGTGTGGGAATGTTTCTGCAAGTGATTACTACTGCCATGTAAGCAAATTGACTGTTTTTGTACTCAAATTGGGCATGTTCCTGTTTGTAAACACAATTCCATACCAAAAGTTTATGTCCAAAAATGAGTGTACCCTACAGGGCTCCTTTTATAAAAATCTGGTCCTTAAGCTCTTGCTACAATAATTAATGTAATTAAATAGATGCATGTACTAGGAGCTTTGTTGCAGGAAGTAGAATTTGCCTTTTTTTTTACTGTCAGTTATGTTGGTGACATCCCTTCCCCCAAGAAAAAAAATTGCGATCTACTCTACTTATTATAATGATCTTCTAGTTTCCTCTTTTCTCCTCCTGCTCTTTCATAGTCTCAGCTGAATACTTGAGAAATCTTTGGTTTCTTTCTAGAATTATATGAGCTAGCCAGACATAAGGGAATTGTTCTATATGCTAGAAACAACAGCAACTAAGAATTTTAAGTCAACAGTATCCCTTAAATGCATAGGAATCTCATGACGGAAAAATGCATTGCTGACAGTCCCATCTGCTAGCAGACAGGATCTGAATTCAAACACCAGCAATGGCAGAACTGGATTTTGCATATGAGTTTTTCAGCAATTTTCCAACATAACTGTTAATGGTTCCAAAATTGCTTCAGCTTGTTCCCTAAGTACCATGGGGTGAAATTTATCAGGGTCTGCCAAATCTTCTTATATATTTTAGAAATGTGCTTCTGTCTGTGAGTTCTTTTGTTCAAGAACTCCTCCTAAATGGCAAGAGTTAGGGCCACCAAATTTGGTAGGTAGCTTCCTCCTAAAGCAAGGTCAGCATTTGGTTGTACCAGGCTAATGGGATGTGCCTGGAATGTGAGTGTTTCATGTCAAACGGAAAGGGAGGGGTGTGATAGCAGGGATATTTATACTCATGCATGACCACAGAGAGGCTGGCAGGCTATAAAAACACCCCCACCACGCCCTGGGCCAGCCCTGAGGAGAAGCCAGCAAGTGGGTTGCAATGCCTCCCCACCTCCAGGCAAGCCTTGGAGAGAAGCCAGCATTTACCTCTGAGCCCCTTCCCAAGCTTTCCCTCTATCCAACCCCCTGCCCTGACTCCTGCACCCCCTACCCTGAGCCCTTCCTCATCCCCAAACCCTGACTCCCGTACATACCCCAAATTCCCAGCTTCCTGCCCAGAGCCCCCCACATCCCCAAGCCCCTGCTCTGACTCCTACACTCTCCCATACTGCCATCACCCTTCCCTGAAAGACCTGAGCAATGCCAGGTAAGTCTTCTAGTCTCTCATAAATTTGAGAGAGTTTGTTTGTCTGTGCATCTGTCTGTTTGTTCAAGAACTCCTCCTAAATGGTCAAAGCTAGGACCACCGAATTCAGTATGCTGCAATGTGTTTGGTTGTGCCAGGAAAATGGGATGTTCCTGGAATGGGATTGCTTCTCATAAAGCCTTCCAAAACAGAGACCAAAGTACCAGTCTGGTGAAGGGAGCTTGCTGAGTGAGCCCCCTTTACGGAGGGCTGAAGATTCCTCAGATACATACAGGAACACTGCTGGCTGTTCCCCTTCATCAGGGAGCGAGGGGAAAGTGTACAGTTTACTACATTCTGGCTGGGAGGCACAGGGATCAGATGAACCTGGAACTTCCCTAGCCAGGGAACATGCTTCCTTTCGCCAGCTGTGCCTGCTGCAGCTGCAGCAGCCAGGGAGGCATGTCTCACCTTGCCCCAAGCTGCTGTAATTAGAGAGACTGGGATAAAAAAAAGGACAGGACTGGAAGAAGGCAAATGTAGTGCCCATCTTTTAAAAAGTGAAGAAGGACAATCCAGAGAAGTACAGACCAGTCAGCCTTACCTCAGTCCCTGGAAAAATCACGAAGGGGATCCCCAACAAATCCATTTCGAAGCACTTGGAAGAGGGGGAAGTGATCAGGGATAGTCAACATGGATTCACCAAAGACAAATCGTGCCTGACAAACCTGATTGCCTTCTATGATGAGGTAACTGGCTCTGTAGATGTGGGGGAAGGCAATGGACATGATTCACCTAGACAATAGCAAAACTTTTGATATGGTTTCTCACAGTATTCTTGCCAGCAAGTTAAAGAATTATGGATTGGATAAATGGATTGTAAGGTGGATAGAAAGCTGGGTAGATAGATCATCAGACTCAACAAATAGTGATCAACGGCTCAATGTCTGGTTGGTGGTAGATATCAAGCGGCATTGGTTCTGGGACCGGTTTTGTTCAATATCTTTATTAATGATCCAGTTAAGGGGATGGATTACACCCTCAGCAAGTTTGCAGATGACACTAAGCTAGAGTGAGAGGTAGATATTCTGGAGGGCAGGGATAGGGTCTAGAGTGACCTAGACAAATTGGAGGATTGGGCAAAAGAAATCTGATGAGGTTCAACAAGGACAAATGCAGAGTTCTGCACTTGGGACAGAAGAATCCCCAGCGCTGCTACAGGCTGGGGGGTGACTGGCTAAGTAAA